ACATGTTTTGGTGACTGGCAACCATGGAACGCAGCTCCATTGTTTTATGTATGAGATTTCAAGTCAGAGGCTCCGGAGATGGTTTCTTAAAACAACCACTTGCTTTGGTTAGCATCCCAGGCCTTACTTAAACTATGCGATTCTGTGTGGCGTATGTCTTGGTGTCTACAATGTATCAGGTTGGTGTTAAAGTAAACAGTAAACAAACGTGACCTGAATCAACAGTTAAAAACTTCATGGATTGATATCAGCTTTTGATTTGACTACCTCTAACTATTTCCTGAGCTAATCTTATGTCAATTAACATCGTTCGACTAGACAGGAGAACATTTATTTACATATGGGTTTCAAATGACCTTGGAAATTCTAAATTCACTAATAAGATGAAACAGTCCCATATTCAAAAGGAGTGGGAAATACAAAGGGTTTTTATAAAAGTGAGATAACTGCTCCTGTCCACTAGAAGCAAAACTTCAAGCTGCAACACTATGGAGAGACTAAAAGATGTTATAGATGCTAGACTCCACCCCCGAAGAAACTGAATTCAAGAAATGCAAATCATGCGAGGAACAAATTCCAGAATTAAGCATCGTCATCGAAAACAACACATAGAATGACAGTCAACTCTCTAGTGTAATTTCATCAACTTTGATCAACTGTTCAACAACGTTGACTGGCAAGTAATTTGGAAATGTTTCAACACTACACAGTGAAGTACACAAACACTTACAAACCTCATTCCACAACTGTATGATAGTGCCACATGTGAAATTATTCACAATGGTTAGTTCAGTAATGTCTTTGAAGTGAAGACAGGAGTAAGACACGGCTGTCTACTATCACTGGTGATAATCCTGATTGTGTTATACTGGATTACGCAATAGACTATGGGATGTGAGAGTTGAATCGATAAAAAGAGTCTAGTAGATCTAATCCTAGTGGATGATTTAAGTCTCACATTGAAAAAAAAACTCGAAGACTTACAGACAAAAGCCAACAAAGAGAAGGAGCAGAGAAAACATGATTTCAAGAGGACATAGAGAAGAAAAAGATGGTGGAAATAACTAACCGAAAATGAAAAGAAACACCAATCGCTATCAACGGAAGAAATCGAAAGGAAGTCACCTCTTTCACTTAATTCACCTGGGGCAGCATAGTTACAACTACAGACATTAAAAAGATAATGATGTCAAAGACAGCCAGGATTGAATCGAGAAAGTAAGACAAACTTTCATTCATCTGAAATGAGTATGCAAATCTACAGCATTAAGCATAAGGAACAGAATTCAAATTTCCAAATCTAATGTGAAGTTAATGCCTCTATACAGTTCAGAGATTTAACGCGTCACAAAAAAAAACATTTCCAACATACTGAAGATCAAATGGCCGAAAAAGGATAAGCAACAAAGAATTTCGGCAACGAACCAATCAAAAACCTAACAGATATGCAGAAGAAAAAAATAAAGACAGATGATTGGACACACACTGAGGATATACCGTTAAATGACATAACATATGCTAGGTGGTAATCTCTCGAGTGAAAACTGACTGGGAAACAATAAGCTCATGAAGGAGATTGTGTAAAGTGGAGATGAATGCTTAAAGGATAATTGTGGATATTCAAGTGTTGGTTTGTAGGGATTTGTTTGGTTACAGGATTTCATCATTCATGAGCTGAGATTAGTTCTGTCAGTCTGTTTTCGACATAGAACTTTGCACCGATGTGCAGCAGTTCAAGTCACCACACTCCCTCTTTGTAGCACACAAAGCAAGAGAAGAAGGTAGAAGAAATGCATAATAGAGACAGTAAACACACGTGTGAGACAAAGAAATAGAAGTAACGAAGAACAATGTAGTTTCATTGGCAATCATAGGTCACAAGGAGTGGATGCATCTGCACCATTTAGAACGAACTTGAGCCATATCACCAGTTGTCTCCAGCTATTGGTATTTACCGGCCCGAGGACCCCAACCAGGAGGCCAGTCAACACCTTCCTACGTGGCTTAGACTAACTGTTGTGGATTTCATTGACTGGTGCCATGTTTTGGTACCAGTCAACTTCATCGACTTTGAAAAGACCTTCGACAGCGTCGATCGAGAGGTGATTTGGCAACTACTTTGCTAATACGGGGTCCCATCGACAATTATACATCTCATCCAACAGTTATACGAAAATACTGCATGCCAAGTAATCCACAACGGGAAACTTATGGAAGCCTTCGAAGTGAGGACAGGAGTGAGGCAAGGCTGTCTATTATCGCCAATGATCTTCCTGATTGCAGTAGATTGGATAATGCGACAGACAACGGCAACCAACGAGGGAACAGGCATAAAATGGACTGACACAAAAGACTTGGAGGATCTGGATTTCGCCGATGATATATGTCTGATTTCCCACGAACTGGAAGATGTGCAAGTGAAAAGCAACAAGTTGGCAGAAGAAGCATCAAAGATAGGACTTCAAGTGAACATAGATAAAACAGAGGTGATGATGATTCCTGGCCAACATCAACAGCAACAACAACAGACAACAATCAGCATAAGTGGGAAGAACCTGAAAGAAACAACCTCCTTCACCTACCTACCTACCTACCTGGGAAGCATCGTTTCAACTACAGGAGAACGGAACTGACGAGGATACCAAAGCCAGAATCCGAAAAGCAAGACAAGCTTTCACTGCTCTAAAGTCTGTGAGGAGGTCAACAGCACTCAACATCAAAAATACGATCCGGATTTTCAACTCCAATGTGAAGTCAGTGCTACTTAACATACGGATCAGAGACTTGCACCGAGCGTCATAAAGAGCTTCTCAAACAAACTAGAGGCCTTCACTAACAGCTGTCTTTGCTCATTACTCAAGATCAGATGGCCAGAAAAGATCAGCAACCAATCAGGAACCGATTGTGAAACAAATAGGCAGGAAGAAATGGAGATGGATTGGCCATACTCTAAGGAAACCAGCAAGTGACATCAATAGACAAGCCATCGCTCGAGTGGAACCCGAAAGGGAGGCGGCGAGTTGGTCGTCCAAGGGTGACATGAAGGAGGTTATGTCAAGAGGAGATTAAAGCGTATGGGAAGACTTGGAGCGGGGAGAAAAGGTTGGCAGAAAACCGAAGGCAATGGAGGTGCGCAGCTGAAGCCCTATGTTCCTCTAGGAATTAAAGGATATAATAATGTAATAATAATGTTTTGGTTTGATCGCCACTAGCTCTTTTCCAGCCAGACCCTATGTCAGCCAGCTGCTAACATTTCCTGTAGAGGAAGGCGATGACTACGCATACGTAACACATTTCCTAACCATCTCAGTCGATGTAACCTGACAACCTCGTCGATTGATTTCCCCTCCTTACCTAGAACTCGGCGCCTAACCTCAATATTGCTCACCTTATTATACCACTTCACACGGGAGATAGAACCTATGATCAAAGACAGCTATAGGTGGGGTGACATTAGTTAGAGAACCATTGGAAAACCTGGGAGTACTGAACAGCCAGCTGTTTCGTCAGCCTAGTTTGGGACTCTTCAGCAGTACGCACCCACCGAGGTTCTAACCCAGGACCTTCTGGTTACAGAGCGAGCTCGTGTTTATCTTCCTTTCTACTTGGTATTTTTATTTGCATTTTTTTATTTCTGTGTTTTTCTTTTTTGGTTTTTTGTTGTTTTTTATATTTATTTTTTTGTAATACTCTTTTTAAATGTTCGATGAAATTGGATGCAATATTGTAGATTTGTGCTGAAAATTCCACACTGTACGACAAGTACTGTTTCTGGAATAAAAGCGAAATTGTTATGTTATGTTAAGCCACTGGGACCCGTGGAGTCAGCTAAAAAAGGACTACACAGAGAACACGATGAAATGCAGATGCCCTACTGAAGTCCTATGTTATAAGTAATGATGAACATTGATTAAGCTATAAACAACAGGCGTTAACACGAAGGCGAAATAGACTTATACATACAGACAGAACGACAACGATAAAAACAACAACAAGAAAATAACTCCAGGTGTCAAACAGTAACAACACATTGTGCTTTTATTTATTTTGAATCATCAAATGTATACAGAGTGTAAAATAGTAATAATATTAATATTAATAATAACAATATATATATTATCTACAAGGAATTAATAAAAGAAACATAACACAGCAGTCGTATATACTACTTATTAGCCAAAACTACTAGTAATAACAAAAGAGACGAGATAAAAACCAAACAAAATATAATAAACATTAAAATAAGGAGAGAGAGAGAGAGAGAGAGAAGAAAATGGCGGAGAAAGAAAACAATAAAAAACAAACAAATAAACAACAATGATCATTGTGTCACAAGTCACAGGAATAAAATTTCTTTTAAAAATCACTGTTATTTTGAACAATATAAGTGTGATATATTCGTTTTAAGGCGAATACATACATATATGCATATATATATACGTGTATGTATATCATGTATTGTATGATACGAGATAGAATTCACTCTATTTAGGCATTTATACATACTGGTGCCAATGCGTGCGTGCAGAGACATTAACACACACACACAGGCACACGCACAATCACACATACATACACAATGGAGTCATTCAAACAAAAGGCAAATGATTGGTAGATCGATAGATGTATTGAGTTCAGGTGAGCAGAGTAAAGTAGAGTAGAGCAGAGCAGAGCAGCAGAACATCGGATAGTATGTGATGATGAGCCAAAGCAATTTATGAGGATGAGGATGATGATAATGATGACGACAGAGGATAAAAAACAAACAAAAGAAAGTGGCAAAATCCACCTTAAATAAATAAATAAATATTATATAATATAATGTCAATAAGAATATATATATATTATCGAATGTTGAGTGTAATTCACATATACCATACAGAAATGCACAATATTATAACAGAGATTTCCAAATATGAGAGAATAAGTATAATTACAGTGATGTTCTCACAAGTAATCTTCATATATATATATATATATATATATATATATATATATATATATATATATATATATATATATACAGAGAGAGAAAGGCGAACAGTTTGTCACTTCCTCCGTATTCATCGTTTGGAAGGCTTCATTCATTCCTTCACAATAATATTTTAAAAAACTCACTAAAAGTGAATAAATAATACACACCCATCTAGGTAGGTGTGTGACGGTGAAGGGCAGGGCAGGGGAGGGGACAACAATTCATCAGAAAGAGAATAAAACATCGAATCCTTTTTTCTTTTCTGTTCAAGGGAAAAACAAAACATGAACACAAAAACAACAACAACAACAGAAAAAACAAGGAGTGGAAGAGAGAAGTGAAAAAGGTGATGGTGATGATGATGATGAAACAGATTAATAAAAGAAATAGTAGAAAAGAAAATCTCTATTTCATTTATATATATCAGCTGTTTTGCTGTACTGCACTGTACTGTACTGTATAGCAATACTTTGGTCTGACTTTTCTTCTTAAGCAAAAAGAGCATGTGTATATGTATATGTATTTATTATGTATATTAAATATGAAAGCCCGTTGGTTTAATTTTATATTATTATTATTATTATTTGGGTGTAAAACAATGCGAAACAACAATAGTTCTAAGGTCATATGAGTCCATGTTGTAATATCCCATACATATACAGTCTCGCACACACACGTACGTACGCCTGCACGCACGCACCGATACACATACAGACAGATATATTTAAATCCATTAATGTATATATGTGTGTGACAATACAATCAACACAGAGATAAACAAAGACGATGACATCGACAGCAAGCAATAAGAGGAGAAAAGTACACAGAGAAAGCCAGCTTCCAACCACTTTCTTCTCCTTTCTCACATTTTTTGAAGTATAGACATATATACTTTGAGGAAAATTCAAGCGATAATCAGAGTTTGATCAGGTTGACATAGTTTCACCTCAGATTATACAAGACAGACAGTCAGATAAGTACTGAACAATGTAATCGATCAATAATGTAAAGCAAGAGAAGAGGTCAACAGACAAACGAAGAAAGGGACGAATAAACAAACTGAATAGCATTGAATACATTTGAAAAACATTTCCCTGATAAGAACAAAAGAGAGTAGATCAAGTGTTGTTGAACCAGATGTCTTAAACTGAATACGGTGATTACAATATATGCAACACGCACGCACGCACCCACCCACGCAAGGGGATGAGCACAGACATATACAAACAGGAATGCTGAAGGAAAACAAATTCAATCAAGTTTTAAACGCATTAAATTCATGGAAAACTTTACATACATACACACACACAAAACAAAAAAAAGGAAACGAAAAGCAAAGAAAATTATAAGGATAAAACAAAACATTAACAAATAAAAGAAATATTAACAAAATTATCACTTTTCTTTTACTATGTTTATTTATGTTTTGTTATCATTGGAATTGTGTTAAACAGTAGGACTTTACTGTACTGCACTGTACTGTATACTGTAGGCCTCAACAACAGCAGCAGCAGCAACAACAACAACACGCACACACATACGTACACATACACATGCACATGTACACATGAGGTAAGTAATTAGTAAGAAATAAAGCATTATATCTCAGGAAAGAGAAGATTAACAGGGAAATAATAAGAAATGCTGAATAGAATACACAAATATATATATGTATACCACGTGATTTCCCATCTTCTGCTTTGTTAATAAAAAGTAATTGGAGAAGAAGAAGAAAGAAAGCCAATTATTATTATTATCATGATTACTTTTACTGGACAAAATCTCTACTTTTTCTCTGATCTTCATTGTATTGTCCAGATGACAGGGATGATGATGTTGGTGGTGGCGGTAATGAGGATTCATTTATTATAGTGATATTTTTTAAATTATTAGACGATTGTACAGTTATATAAAGTGGAGTTTGAGGCTGTTGACATTTTATTGGAGATGATGATGATGCCGATGACGATAATGATAGTGGTGGTGATTTAAAGGAGGATGCGTTCGACACAGGATATGCATTTTCAGTATGCATAACTACCGATGGCTCATGTTGTTTATGCTGTTGATGTTGTAAAGGTTTATTTGTCTCCGATAGTACTTTATTCGAAAGTTGAAAAGATTGAGCATTGCATAAATGATTAGTTTCAGAATTAGGCTAGAAAAAAATAATAACAATAAGAATAATAGTAATAAAAAAGAAATCAAATAAATTGAAATGTTTTCTATAGTTTGGTTTGTAAGTGCTAGTTATGTTTTTACGAGTTCATCACGGATTGATATCAGTTAGAGAACCACTGAAAACCAGGGTGTACTGGACAGCTGCTGTTTCATCCTAGTTTGGGAATCATCAGCAGTACGCATCCACCACCAGGGTTCCAACCCAGGACCTTCCGGTTACAAGGCAAGCTGGCTCGTATACCATTCAGCCACTGGGACCCGATTCAATGGCCAGCACATGAATTCTAACTTCTATCAATTCGTGATTTAACGCGATCCCAACCATTGTCGTTGGTGGGACATCCATCCACACACGTGACATCTAATTGGACCTCACTGGTCACGACTTCTCACTAGAACTCAGGAAACTCCAACCTGTAGCAAGTCATTAGCGAGCATCAGATTAATTTTCTATAGTTTGGTTTGTAAGGATTAGTTATGTTTTTATGAGATGATCACGGATTGATTTTTTTTGTTATACAATTTGACAATAAAAGCACAGTCTTAAACATTGAATCACTGATCATATTAAAGTTTAATTCTCCGACCTGAGTTATACCGATGATGAGATCGACCAAAAAGGAGAGAAACGAATGTCCGATCACTTCGATCTGACTAGCAAACACTAGGAGGGTTGATGTGAATGGTATCCAATTTTACTCATATCAACCAGTCAGTAGTATATAGCATCATAAATTTATGCTTACTTTCTTGACTGTCATTTATGGTAGATACCACAAGCAGATCACATCGTATGATCTGATTAATATTGGTTACTAAAGAAAAGTGTAGTAAAACTTCATCTCCTTTAACTGAGTAAATTGCAAACAGCTATCGGTAGAATTAACTGACAATGAAATGTACTTCCCAGTCAACGAATGGAGCCCTATACCTTAACCAACCACCTACACACACAGACTCCTTTATTGTTGGATAGGATAAATTCACTACACTAATCCAACAGTTTGAGTAAATTACCCTATAAAAAGTGAATTGAATTCCGATGGCAAAGTTAAAGAAAAATAAGTGAACGAGTGCATGAATAACTTTCATACGGCGAATCGGACTTTCTGTAGATGAAAATACTTATAACGGAGAGAGTGGGTTCAGAATTATTATTATTAAAGCATGCTCTTCAGAATTTACCGAATAGATTCTATCTAAAAAAGGTGCCTAAAACTTAATCGTACAAGTTGGCAGTGAGTCATACCTACTGTGTAAGCGTGCATGTTTCAAACTCTTGGCGCACTGTGTGGAAATTGAGCTCCTAGATCCAATAAGACACAACTCCATACTTTAAGCAATGGTTATTTTGTCAACAGCCAGCAATCGAATTAGAAAAGGAAAATCATTCTGGCAACATTGTAAATAAAACTATCGTTTCATAATAATTTTACACTTCCTTATACATCCTTTTGGCAGATATACTGGGGTTTTTTCCCACTTAAATTAGCCTGATTAATTCTGACTGGTCACTTCAAGGGGATGAAAATAGTGTCAGGTGAAAACTAACTAACTAATCTTCTTTCCACTAGCAAATGAACAATCTTCTTAATCCTTATACCATCAAGCTTTACGATTATTTCTCTTGTTAAATTTATAGTCCTCTCATTTAATTGGTTGGTGGTGACTAGCAGTGGAATCCAGGATGCGCATTTCGTCCTATTTGGGACTCGTCATCTGGATGCATCTGAATTTCTCAGTGTATGATGATGTTAAATTATAGTCCTCTCACTTTATTTATTTATTTCTTCGTAAGTGTAAACACCGTCAAAGCACTGTAACAACTGTTATTTTTTGTCTTCCTCCCTCATCGTGCAGTGTCAGGAGAACATTAGATTCAATACTCTATAACATGCTAACATTTCCATACTATAACAACAATATTGTTTGAAACAAACCAACTGTTATTATTACCACTATTATTATTATTATTATTCTCATACTGTACTTTGAATATTTTTGACATTATTCTTACTGTAAACTTGGAAACGTTTCTGTAGGTTAATTTTATTTATTTTTAGTAAATCAGATGCAATATTGTAACAAATGCTGAAAATTCCATACTGGATTATAAGTACTGATTTTGGAATAAAGCGGATTATTAGTATTATTATTGCTCTTTCGCATGGGTCAATAGTCTTTAACTTTGCTGACCACTGTCACGATGCTTGACTATGATACTAACTAAATGAAGCATGATTTATGAATCCGAAGATAAACTTGCCAAGATTTACCCAGTTAAATGATGTCCCTGTGATAGGTATAATACATTGTCAAGTATACAATACCCAACTTTAAGCGGTTACTAGACTGTATATAATTAAGGCTTTCATTCTCCGAAGCCATAGAAGATGATGGATAGAAACAAATAAAAATAACATCTAACTGTTTCTGTTGAATAGACTTACACAACTAAGTAAAGCTTAGTAAAAAAATATTTTAAAAAATAATAGCTTATATTCATCTATTTTATTTTGTTATAGCTTGATTTCACACAGTATTTTGGTACAAGTATGGAATTTTCAGCATGTAGGCCGACCATTAGTATCAGGTGTGCGTCAGCGAAGGATCGAACCCCAGGCTATGTGAATGGTTGGAGAGTGTCCTAACCGCCCTGTGCCACCGACGCACTGTAGATTGAGATGAATTCGTTTCAGTTTTTGCTAACTTATCTTGTCAACCAGTTGTATAACGATTACAGTGCTGAATGTTTTCTCACAGAACAATGTAAATACACCGAATAGGACATGTCGATGTGCTATAGATTATTAACAGTCCAAAATGAAGAAGAAAATACTTGGTAGCAGTGGTGTGGTGTATGCTACTGACAAGAATTTGTAAGTAGAATACCGTGTGTGTGATGTCTTTCACTCGAATCTTGAATGGCCGAGCGATGACTTAAGTTGTATACAGCAGAAATACAGAATGCATGTGAAGCAATATAGAAAGCATGAAATGCAGGCAAAAGAAGCAGAAAATACACATAATTTTTGTAAATTGAAATTTTAATGTGAGATTTTCGCAGTTCACCATCATTGTACATCAGGCAGTTAAATAAACAATTCTGCTGATGCATACCACTGAGTTCTGCCGTCACAAGAGTTGTAGAATATTACAGGGAATAGGATAAGGAACAGAAAGAATGAGCGACAGGGAGAGAGAGAGAGTAGACAAACAAATATATACAAGTGAAGCGAACTCTTATTGTCATTATTGTTATTATTATTATTAAAAGACGGAAACAAGTGCCTCACAGAATCTCATAGTTTGAGCAAGGGTTGGGATACTACCAAGACACCCAGATAGGAGCAGGCAGTTGCTTTAGGAAGTCACTCTCCGAATCTTTAGCTTGAAGTCTCATGTACAAGACAGTGAAGCAGTGTCAGGAGCTGGTTTGTCATGATTTCCGGTGACTAAAACAGGGTCATACTCCACTCAATCCGTTCTGGTTCTGAAGCCCATGTAAATCATAGGTTTAGAATTTGGGTTTTCAAGCTCATCTATGTAGACCAGCATGTCCACCAGCCCAGTTTTAAGTGCCAGATGTCCACATTCTCGTTTTTAATTTTGTGAGTAACACCGCCACGGGGTGAAGGTAATGAATAGGACTTACCTGGAAGAGGCTATGAAGGTGTGGCTAAATAAGAGCCTTTTGAGAAGAAGACCGAGGTCTACCAACCCTCGTTCCTATCAAGTCGTTGAAGTGAATTTCACTCGAACTTGATTACACATCTTTAAATAAAACTGCTTAATCTATGACTAAGTCATTCCATTCTCATCCTCTCCCACTTCAAACAAAATTTATCCACAATATGTGTTGGTTAGGTGCTTGAAGGCAATTCCCAGGAAGTTCACATTGGATTTAGGTTTCGTGATTATTGGCACTTATCAACAAGGCGTATCTTCAATCTTGAAGGAAACGGTGCCCCCCCTACCGGAGACTCGACCCCACCTCCCATTACCTAGTGTTGAAATCAAAGACGTTACCACTGAGCTATTTGAGACAGGATTGGCCTACTCTAGGACTGTAATATATACCTACTACTTATATCTCCATCAGAACATAGGAGAAAGAACATGTACTAAAAAGCTTATGTCTAAAAGGAACAAATACTTTAGAAAGTGCCATCGCCAGGCATCTCCTTGACATGGGTCATGAGGTGGACGTCGCAAGATAGTTCAAAATTATCAATTGGCAAAAGAGTTCAATTCTCCTCAAGTTTACTGAATCCATCTCCATCAAGCGCCTGAAACCTGATTTATGCGTTCAGAAAGAAGAAGTTATCAGTCTTTCTTTGCCCTGGTAACTGGATATTTTCACCTCTCTTTCATCTGATTAAACAGTGTCAAAAGTTTCCATTGTGTATGATCATTACTGTTCGGAATAGTGTTTAATATTATATATATTATTACTTTATGTATATACTAACTGATTGATTTTTGTTTGAAAATGAACCCTGTTCAAGTATGTTAAAATCGTTTCTGTAGATATATTTAATAATGACTTTGGACTGTAAACAGCTGATGAGAAGCCAGCGAAATAAAAGATGGTACCATTTTATTCTGTATAAACTGTTGTTTTTACTTTATTCAAATTCATTAAAAGGAATAAATGTATGAAAAGAATTTTAAGTTTCTTTTTTCCAAAGACCATATATCTACATACACATATATGTATATATGCAACTGAAAAAATTCATATGACAGAATAGAGGTGACGTATAACTCGATTTATTTTGAATAAGCGAAAATCATGAATACATTTATTATCTAATGATGATCAATAAAGAAGACATGCATGAAAAATCCATCATCACTATGATGGGTGATATAGAAATGTTACTGCAAATAGATAATTAATATCTACATGATAAGAATTATTTTGGAGGGTTTAATGTTTTCTAAACTTTAGAGTATTCGATTGTTGTAAACGTC